ACTATAACATGGAACGGCAGAGAAGAAATTCACGAAATGTACAATAAAAGTATAATAAAAGCTTTCTTTTCACTAATTAATTTGCTCAACTGTAATCCTATCGATACGTGTAAACGACTGTTGAGATGTAACAAGTAGAAAATAAATATCGCTACGGGACGGGTGTGCAACAAATTGTCATTTCCAAAAAGGAGTCATCCATTCGCTTAATAATGTTTATTTTCTTGTAAAAAGAACTACCTATCGACCTATCTTAACGTTATTATCTAATTTAATGAGAAATCAGTGTCTCGCTTCGAACATATTCTCATGCATAATAAAGTACAAATTCTCTTCGGCTCAACAATGTTTCTTCTCACCTTATATCCCCCCTGTATTTTCCTCACACATTGCGCCAAGATAAACTAACGTGCATTTCGCTAGCACGATCATCTTTTCCTCTAGTAGACGAGAGATTCTTCAACCGTGCCTCCACTTAAACTTTTAACAATTTTCCTCCCTCCAACATCTTCTTACTTCACCTAAAATCACCTCCGCCACGTCTTGTTTTCTTTCCACCAATGATCGTTCCTTAACTCTCCGCAATACTTCAACGCTGATAAAAACAGTGCTCTCGAAGTTCGTTCGAGGTTTTGGCAATTCTCTCTCAGCGTTAAATTTCAAAAGTTTCGATAACGTGTAAATAAGTCGACTGATCTTTCTTCGGCTTGAAGTCGAACACGTTCGACGATCGAACTGCTATTTCAAGTTTATCTCGTCTAGTTCACGCGTATTGCTAAAGTTTCCTAACGAAAAACCAGGAATCAACGGAGAAAGCGATTCCAGAAGAGTTTTCTCGCTAAATGTCAACGAGCTAATGGGAGAATATATCTCGTTCGAGTGTTTGAAACGTCAACGATACAAAATTCGCTAAAATCGTGGAAGAAACGGGTTAAATTGTTTTCAAGTGTTTATTAATCAACGCTGTTCGCGCTTCGTTTTTTTTTCTCTCTCTTTTTTTTTTGTGCGATAGATTCCATTACGTTCGTTTGATTGTTGCAACGCTGATAAAACAATTTCGCTTATTTAATTTCAACGTTCGTTTTTAACGGTAATTAGGGTTGTACAGCTAAAGTGGAACGAGCTTTCGATTGCTGCGCGTGAGAATCACTGAGAGAATTCGCAGTTAATTCGTCAATTCGCCGAGTGAGAAAGAAGAAAATTTCTTCGATTCGTCCAGATTGAGTTTCTCGAGGGAAAATTTATTTCGACTAACTTCACTTAGAATTAACGCTGTTTATACAATAGATTAATCACTCGGTTCAACAATCGTCTCACGTAATAGAAATTTCTTTTAAAAACGTTGAATTTAATTGGAATTTTCTCCAAATTCGTGTGTTCGTGTAAAATGACATTAACCCCAGAATATCGAATGTTCTTCGTCATTTCAGTGGTCGTGTTTATTGCTCGTAATAATTATAAATACGTGTACTCGCTACATTATTCAAACAATTATCTCCGATGTAGATATTACAATACACAAAACGATGGAAAGAAGCGTAAGAGACAGTGAACATTGCTTACATCAATATTCTAGGGTTAATTAAAGATGTCAGTTGAAAAGTTTGCCGACACTTTGACTAGCAAGTGAAACTTGCCCAAAGTGACAAATTTCTAAAAGTCTGTTTAATTGTAAAACACAGAATTATCGTTAAAAATCGCCAACACTCTGAACTGATATCTTCAATTACACTTGATTGATAAAACATGATTTAAAAATCGTCTCATTGTGATTCTCGTACGTAGACATGCTTCACATTCTTGAGTGAACAACGCTATAAAATATATGGAAGTAAAATGTATAGAAATGAACAAGCATCGTCTAATTGCTTCATTCTCGGGGGACTAAATTCTAGTTATTGTATCTCGTTCAAGGAAGACACGTGTCACTCTACCAACTCGTCATACTAATCGCGAGCGATACTCACACACATTAGGTTTCCATACAAGCTTCGGGGGTAATTAACGAATCACAAATGTTCAACGATGAATTTTGTTAAAACGTGGATTATATTCTTTTCTTCCACGCTCGACCTGAACTGCAAATTATATTTTCCTTTTGTTTTTTTACACAGAGAACGTTATCACTATCGTTATTGAAACATATAAGGTTCAGGTCGTTGAACCTTTTCGGAGGTCGAGGTTCGATTTACACTTCTTTTACCGTTACGTATAAAATTATCAAAACGACAGTGTCTCGAAGTGTTTCCCGTCAACTGGCCGATGCAAATGAAAGCTTCGATTCGGAAAGAAATTGTACATCGATCGCGAATGGTTTAATAGTTGAGATTTGCTTAAGGGGATACGCCACTTTGAGGATTCTGAGGTAGGTGAAAGTTTGGGAATTTTTATTTAGCGAACTAGTGAATGGAAAATTTCCATTTTTTTAGAGGATGTAAGTGTGACTTTCAGCTTTCTTCTCTAATTTTTTAGAAGAAAAATGTTGCAAAATGGAGGAGTTATTCGGTAATTAAGAAACATGTTCTTTTGCTAGAACATTGATCGCTGATTGCCATCGCCGATAAGAATTCAAACGTATGAAGTAAACAATTTTTATTGAGTTATAAACAAAAATGTATTATTTACGATATAGCGTAAGGTTTTTTCGATATCGCAATTATTTAATTTTTTAGAAACGTTTGAAGTTGATTTTTGTGGTAAAAGGAGGCTTTTCCTCTTCGAAATGCCACCATTTCTGTAATAATTAAAATTTTTGAAAAATCTTAGACCATATTATAAGCGACACGTTTTTATTCACGAATCAAAAGGAATTTTTTACTTCGGACATTCCAATTTTCGTTGGCGATGTCAGCCAGCAGTCGATGTTCTTGCAAAAGAAGAGGTTTCGTAATTACCGAAAAACTCCTCCATTTTCTAACATTTTTACTTGAAAAAAAAAATTGGAGAAGAAAGCTAAAGGTCACATTTATGTCGGCGAAGAAAATTGGAATTTTTCATTTAGCAGTTACCTATAAAAAAAATTCCCAAAGTTCATCTATTTCTAGACACATCGGGGTGGTTTACACCCTTAATTGAAAGATCGACGAAACAAAATCGATAATCGTATACGTATTATATATAGTAACATCACATATAACAATTGGGATGATTTTCGCGAGGCACAACTGTAGGCGATTACATATGAGAAAATCAACAATCGTTAAATCGGCAACCATAAATACACTCTGCGTTTGGAGCAAACTTTCTATTAGAGAAAACATGACCGTTTTAACAATCTTCTGTACAATATACATGTAGCGTGAATATCATATCCTCGTATATGATGTTACGATACAATTTCTTACTCTCCTCCCCTTTAATAACGATTAAGTACGCCGGGCCGTGACATTGTGCTTCTAATGTGCGCTTTTTGCAGTATTATCAGCAAATGTGACGATTCAATTCTTCCCGTTTGTCGTCGATTGTGAAACAACCTCTGTCTCAAGTGTTCTGCCTCTGTTGAAAGGTTGAAAATTCTACTGGACGAAGCCAGGAAATTTGGAAAGTAGAGTGCATGATAATTTTCACAAGGATAACTGAAGAATTGAAAACTTTCATTTGAACGTCGTTTGGGTAATTTCGTTACATAAGTATTGTGGATATTCAAACGTTAAGAAGGTTTAAACATTTAATTCGTGAGCAAGGGTGGAAATGTAATTTGAAAATTGAAAATAAAGAAATAGAACGGCAGGAAATTAAAAATAGAAATGAAAATCAAAATTAAAGATAGAAATGAAAAAAAAAGTAAAGAAATAGAAATGAAAATCAAAATTAAAGAAAGAAATGAAAATAAAAGTTAAGAAGGAAATTTAAAATATAAATGAAATTGAAAATTCAAATTAAAATAAAAAATGAGTTGTAGTTGACAAATTGTGACTGCTGTCCATGCAAAAGTGCTGAAATTTAATTACCAACGAAATCAGAACGAGTCATGGAACTTTTCCGAAATGAAACGAGAAGAAAATGGCACTGTAGAAAAGTGTCTGTCGTTTAGTGAACGGTTGTCACGACCCTTCGATGTTTTGCATCGCGCTGATTTATCAAACACGAGTCCTGCTAGATTATAATAATGGCAACGGTAATTCGCACGATTAATATCAAAATTATTTGACGTTCTACGCTCTATGTTTATCCTTACTCCCGATTAACCAATTACTCATCTAGGATGCACGGTCAATGGGACATTCATTGTAATATTAAATTCATTATTCATCCCGCACTCACCTCGCCATGCCCGTGTCGAAGTTCTTTTCTTTTTCTCTCGAGGAAGACAATTAATCGTGGGTGCAATCATGATCAACAACCAAGCATAAGTAAAGCATCTCGAATTAATCTCTTTCTCTTCGAGAAATTCGTTCGATTGGACGCAATCGAATTTTCAATCGCAAGTAAGAAATTGAAGTTTAGAAAATTGAAAATATTCCAACACTTAATTCGATTAACTGAAACGACTACGCGACGAGTACAGTTGAGCTTTGTCCCTTGACAATTTCACGAGTGGAAATTTCGTTAAATTTCGATCGTCGTTAATCGGTAGAAAACGAAGAAAAGGGTTGATCGTTGCAAAAGAGCGACGTGAGCACTGAGCACATTTTCTGTTCTTCCACTTTCATGATATACCATCGTAGATTAGTGATCTTTTCGCCAAGTTTCCTTCTCGTCTCTCTTTTCTACGAGAAAAGAAGAAACCAAGGATTTCAAGGCTTCGAGTAAACGATTCAAGCAGCTCTTTCTTCTTCGTCAAATTTCCTAAATTTCTCATTTCTCTCGAATCACGTTCACGAATTGCGACGATCCTTGGCGTGCATAATTAACGCCTAACAAATTTCACGATTCGGCGCTAATTTCTGTTGCTCGATTCGGTCCATAGTATAGTTTTTATACAAAAAGAAAGAATCGAAATTATCGCGACGATAACACGCCGTTTTTTCTCTTTTTGTAATTCGCTAGATTCTGTGGATTTACTTTCCACGATAGATTTCTATGATACGATCCTGGTCCACGTACTCGAAAATATGAGGCGCGTCCATTAAGATCCCGATGGTACCTGCGGTTGTCACCACGAAGAAAATGTAAAGCTGCAGCCGATCGATCACCATCGCTACATACTTCCAGTCCTCTCTTGTCTGAAATAAACGGAGAAGTTTTTCTTTCAGCTTTTACCGTGCTCGAATTACCGTTATTTTCGTGTGTCCGACTTATCGCTGATACTGTGACATTTTGAAATTTCGCGGCATTTAAAAAGTTCCTGACTCGAGGTAGCGATGAGAGATATTGGCAACTTCCTAAGTGTGGATGATGTGTATTAATTATTTTTTCAAAAGAGAGAAATTTACAATCCTACAACCCTTCGAATTGATTAGATTTCGTTATACGTTAAGAGATAAGAAGAAATGTATGTATCATTGTACCACCAAACACAAATTTCTACTTCTGAGCACCTCGAGCGCCTTTTGAAAACATCTTAAAGACATAATTTTCATAGGTCTTCCAGACCAGAAATGGCCATAAAATGAACATCTCGAAGAAGTGTGCTCTCTGGGTACTTTACTAATAAGAACGCAGTCGAATCTCTCACCTGTATGTACAAATCTTCGTTTCTCAAGTGTTCAGCAATAAATTCAACCGCTTCGGTGGCCTTGCTGGCCTCCGGACTGAGCAACACAGAGTCCGAACTTTCGGATCCTCTTCTATCGTTCAAACCCTCTCCGCCAGCCGCGCTGGAACCACTGGTAGTATGATGAACCTTCCTGTTGATCTTGCAGTTGGGATGATGAAGATCGGACAACTCCATCACCTCCATCTTGGATTTAGTCAACGAAGCTGGCAAGTGTTTAGGCAATTCCGTGGGGCTTCCCGAATATGTGGAAGTTGGCAACGTCACGTTCGGTATCTCCATCATCCATCTCAGTCTGGTCTTCTTAGGTCTCCTCATGAGTAAAATCGTCGGCAGATACTTGAGGAATATCTTCCTGATCAGCTGCGGCATTCTGTGCGTTCTCGGTCCACGGAAGTTCCAATTGATGATGATCACAGTCACCAGGATGCTGACTGTGTTCATGATGAAGGTGAACAGGAGATATTTGGCGATCAACGGCAGTACCAAGGACGTGGGCGGCAGGATCTTGCTGACTAGCAACAGGAACACGACCAACGACAGCAGAATACTGATCCCAAGCGTCACTTTCTCGCCAGCTTCGGCTGGAAGATAGAAGACCAACACGCAGAGGAAAGAGATCAAAACAGTGGGAAGGATCAAGTTCACTGTGTAGAATAGAGTCTTGCGTCTGATGATTATGTAGAAAGTGATGTCTGTTTCGGTCGGGAAGTCACCCTTGTAGGTGTTCAGATAAGCTGGAACACTGATAATGTCCCAGGTACCACTTTTCCAGTAGTCAGAGAGATCTACAAAGTTCTTATTGTTGTACAAGGCTAGAGAGACCTGGTCACCGTTGAACGTCCACGAGCCAAATTTCATGATGCAGGTTTGCTGATCGAACGGGAAATACGTGACGTCGATCGTACAGGAACTCTGGTAGATCGCCGGAGGTACCCAGAGAACGTCGCCGGTTGGATAGATCAGAACGTTGCTTTTGTAGCGTACCTCGTAGTTGCCGTCAGCACTGAAAATGATACGGCGATCCACGGAAGAATTTGTTAATGGACATTGTTCAGTGCCTTTAAGGTTGAATGGGATTCGGTAAAAATGCAGAAATGTAGAAACGTAATAATTCATATTTTCAAGTGAAAACTTCGTTAGCATTTCACTGTTTCGCACAAAGTTCATAAATGAGAAAATTTCAACCCATAATCAGCTCCTAACTAGTACCTACTTGTTAAACAATACAATATCCGGCTTCCAGACCTTGTCAGGGGGTAGCCTAAGCACTCCAATACCACCATAATCTGCTTCATCCCATTGTAATTGATAATCCGTCCATATGAATCTCAACCATACGTTTGACTTCATGATTTGGTTCTTCTCATTCTGCAAAATCACATCTCAAACTAACCAAAATTCCTTTTTTCCATCTCGTTCAAAATACTAAGCACAACTGAGCAAAATTAAAGCACACATATGGTTACCAAATCATACCCGTCGATTAATACTCAAGAAAACACAATGGACCTACGAAACAACAAAATCTTCGTACTACCTAAAAATTGGTTAAATTTAACACTCGACAGCTTGTAAAGAAATTAGCTGCGACAATCAACCCAATTACGACCACTCTCGTATTTCAAAGAAAAATCAACTACCAATCTAATATTCTCACCACGTTGATCAGTTGCACGAAAGCAAGGCCAAAATTCACGTGCACCTTCTCCGTCATGTTCTGCACGGGCCTGATAAGTTTGTTATACCCTCTAAATAGATCTCGCACCAACCTCTCCTCATCTTCGGAACAGAGACCTGGGGAACGACGTGACGATTAACACGAAATATTCAAGGAACGACGAACGAGAAGACACGATATTCCCTCACCGACACAAAAAACCGCGGAGATGAGGAGAAAACGCGCGAGCCGCAAAGAAAAATGCATTTTCGGACAGGTTTCAGGTGTCCCACCCGTAGACACCAATAGACACTCCACAGCCACCGCCACAGATCAATATGAGCACGCAGACGCTGGCCAATAAGTGCATTTCCTTTCTTGCCGTCCGATCCGCCGACACACACCCTGCTCCATCTTTCTAGAATAAATTAGGAACGCTATTGCCCGATCGTTCCACCCGTTTCCACGTCGAATCGCTTCTTTTTCTTCGCTCTTCGTCACTTCTGCCGCGAGAAATAGCTGCACCACGCCCGTGAAAAGCTCTAGTTCCAAGTTGAAACGCACGACTGGGGTGCGACACGTTCCAAGTTTAGGGGTGGATGGGCAGGGTTGCTCACGAGTGATACGCTTCACAGATGCGCAGTCTAGATGCTCTCTACGTCCCTCAGAGTTCTGCTTTATCGAGGGATTCTGGACAAAACGGACAATGGCGAATGGGCGGATATCGGGGTGGAAGCTTTGTGTAATTGAAAAATTTCCTCGTGTTCGATTTTCTTCCGACGGTTCGTTTCAAATTTTAACGCAAGTTTTCGCGGGATTTAAATAGCTGATATTGATTTTCTGGGATTATACGGGTATTTCTTGGTCTTGAAGGACTGTGGAAGTGTAATGTATTGTAGAGTGTTGTTTATACATTTTTTTGGAGGAAGTATCGTTTGAAATTTGTCAATGGTAGTTATTTTTGGACTAATGGAGGTTTCATTTCTATTTTCTTCAAAATTACTTAGGACCTCTAGATCGTAGGACCTGAACACCTACCGTAGACGTCATAAGTTTCAATTAGGTGCCTAGATTCAAATTGTATTTTTTACTTTTTTTTTTCAAAATTACTGTGGATGGATAAAATTTGGATCGTAGGACCTGAATATCTAGATTTTGAACAGATGTTCGATTTTCTTAGCATCTAAAATAAGTTCTCACGTTCTAAAGATTTTCTGGAGTCTTTCTGGCAGCCTAGGAGCTTACCAAATTTTTTTTACAACAAACCTTAGATATCGACATTCCAGAATTTTAGATTTTAATTTTCTGGAATATACACAGGCCCTGAGCTACATGCAAATCAGTTCTGCAAGCCCAAACAATCAGGATTCGGACTTAACGTTTGTTATCACAGCACGTACAGATTAAATTCGAAGTTATTAGAATAAAGTACTAAACAATCGGGTCGTTTTCTCTGTAACAGAAATACATTCCGGGCTTATTCGCTACGCTATTGTTCGCTTTGGATTATACAAGCTGTTCCAGTAATTACCGTGAAATTTCCTGCATACTGTGTCTAATGTGAACCCACAATTGACAAAGTTCTCAAGTTCCATTCCGGGGACGTTGTCAGAGGTACAATTATGGATTATTTCGAAACAACCACTTCTCAAGTAATAGATACAGGTCAGACGAGGAACCGGAGGATCGAGTTTGTGCAATCGGAAAAGCTGTTGCTTGCAATTTCGTCGATGGATAAGTGTGGAAATGTTTGGTAGACAAGACTTCGAAAATTTGCTCGAAGAAAGTTCACCTTCGATACTTTACTTCAATTTATCATCGAAACAGGACACTTTTCCATTAATTGGGAAAGGTTGAATAATTTTCAGAATTATTCCAAATATTTGCACAACAAAGAGGATGAAAACCAGTTGATCCCTAAAAATTGCAATCAACTTCGTAAAGCCAACGTCAATTTGAGCGGTTCCTAATCACCGAGCACTCTCCAACTCTTTGAAACTCTACTTCAACGGAAATAGAAGTTCATCGGGAACTTACCACACCTTCTTTGATTAAAAATTGCAGCCTCAGTCAGTACTTACCGACGAATCGAAGGAGCACCAGAATGTTACAACTCTATCGATCCAGAAACGATTCAAAGTTCATTCCGTCGTAATGAACTGTTCTATACATAATGAATACTACGTTTGTAACATGCATTCTACAATATTTCGTACAAAATTCGTTTCTTAAAACAGCAACTAACGAAATCTTTGCTATGGGTCAAAAATGACCCGGGCATCGCGGGTCGCATCGGTTACGAGGGTTAATCCTTTAACACATTCGCGTCGGTGCCTTTGAGACCTTACTTGACACGGATAGGTGGTGATTTCGCGTCTATTTCTCTCAATCTCGTTACATTGACAAAAAAAAAAAAAAACTGCTACAAATAATTAATATTTTCCAAAGAAATTTTATTCTAATTTCTGAAACATCCGTTATAGCATTTCCGAAGAGAGATCGAACCATTCCTAGTGTTTTACAAATTTATCTTCAGACAGATGAAAATGAGCGTAAATCCTGACCTCGCTACGTCGCTTTCACCGACGATACCGCACGCGTCCGTAGGATCCCGCAAGCACAGGAAGGCTAGAAACTCTCGCAGACCGATAACCGTTCGCCGTTGCGTATTCAAACGTGGAAAAATCCACGGTCGAAAGTCCTAGCCGAGCAATAACCGCGGGATTCGTAAAATGCTCGAGACGCGGCCCGATCCTAGAAACCAGCAATCTGCTGCGGTCGACCACGATATACCGTAACGTTCTAGGTGCATCAGATCCCGTTTGGCCTGGCGCATTCGGCTGGGGTTATTGTTATGTCAAACGATGCGGATGCACCGCGTATCGTTCGCGACCAACCGTTTGGCGGTGAAAGAAAGAAGCAAAAAAAAAAAGGAAAAAATATGAAGAGAGAGAGAGAGAGAGATTCACGTATGTGCTACACACTGGTGAATTATTTAAAAAAGCTAGGACGTATGAAGCGCGTGTGCTGCCTTTGTCGCGCGGCCCTTTCGTCTCGTTTTTCTATTTAAACATTCGGTCGGGGAAATTTGACGTCAGATAGACGGAAGCCTGTTACCACTCGAATCCTGTCACAGCTTTTACAACCACGATCGATCGTGGTTTTCGGTATTCGCTTTATCGAAATATGGGAACTTGTAAGCAGTCCTCGATTTTTTCTTCTGCCTTTTTTCCACCCCCTTTTCGATTGATTTCGATGGCTCGAAACGTCCGTACGATGTTCCGTTTCGGCCGTTCCGGTTGAATTCTGCATTTGATTCCTCGTGACGTCTCTAAATGAACGCCGGAGTTTTTCTTTTTATTTTTTCGATGGTACGAATAATAGGATTTTTGCGGGGATATGGAGTGCAACTCTTTTCGAGGAGAGGAAGAATTAGAACTGCTGTGTGATTTTGTTATCGACTATTTCGAGGAACGATTATGCCGTTATGTGAAATGCATCGTTAAACGCGAAAATAAAGCCGTTAAGTGGAATTATTTCACGCAGAAGTGTCGTGCACGGAATTTCGTACGTCCGTAAAAAGCGTTTTAATCGAGAAAGATTTCCAACGACAAATTAGGAATTCTATCTGGCAAAAACATTTGACTCTTCAATCTGCGGTTCTTGCTCATTAGCAGTTTTCTTTCAATTAATTCTCCCGCGGAGCTGGACAAAAACGCCGGAGATAAAAGAATTAATGGAAAACACTACGTACAGGGTGTCCCGATTGTTTTCGACCAAACTTTTTCAGTAGGCACGTTTTATGCGTGTAAATGAGAGAAATATGAAAACTTAGAACCTGGTAATTAAATTGCAGGACAAGGCGAATTGGAAATTACGTTAATTGCGAATTACGTGCTCGTTAAAATTCTGCTTTCCTTGGAGTCGCTGAAAGAAAGGCATCGCTTCATTTAAACCGAATCGAAACGAGTCATTATTCGCCGTTAAACATCCAGCCAACGCAATCACGCGGATTCCGAGGAAAAGTAGAGAGCTGGAAAATTTTCAATCCGACACAATTACGCCTCTCTGTTCGCGGTTTTTCCGTTCATTGTCGATCCTTTTGTCAGCACGTAATAGGCACGCATATTCGTCTGAAAGGCCAACAAGCACAGTGGACGTTTCTCCCTCGATCGTTCTCTTATTCGTGCAAATTAAATTCATCTCTGTCTGCACGCGTACACAAACGCGCCTAACAATTGCTGAAAATCTGACGAGTTTGTGAAAATTGAAATGGCAAATGGAAATACACACTTCTGCTCAGATGTTTAATCGCGCGGTGCAAAGGCGCGATGTAATTCAATTCGTTTCAATTTGTTCAATTTGACTCGATGAAATTTCGATTCGGTTTATCGAATTTAGCAGAATGAACTTTATCATTCTCGCATAATTCATTTTTTCCCCGCGTTTTAACGAATGCAATTAAGCGATAGCGCGTGTCTTTCGTGGAATTGTGAAAATTGCGAATAACAATTCCAGAGTAATGAAATTTGTAGAAATGTGAAGAAATTACATCGAGCTGTAAATTAGAATTTTAATGGATTCTAACGAACGACACTTGCAATCTTCCTATGCTAGCAACATATTCGTAGAGCTGGCAGCTTTACGAGAACGCATTTATCGTTGGGAAATTAGATGTGTGTCGAGAAGGAGTTTTCGATTGATTGTTAACGTGTTACACTACCACGTCTGTTGGCTTGAAAATTTTACCTGGTTAAATACAAAGTTATTTCGCGTTGAAATTCGTTACATGTTGTTCCACATTCTAACTGAAACATTTCTGTCGGTCAGTCGAATATAGCAGTTTTATGAACGGTGCGAAATTTCCACGACTATTTTAACGAGAGTACGAAACGATCGATAATAATTTTAGATGGAATTCTTCAATTTTTCTTAGCTGAGCATGATTTTCTTCTTCCCTTTCTCCAGCTAGAGAAGAATATCAATTATTACAAAGTAACCTTGCAATACGAATCTTACAAAATTAATTAGCCTTGCTGAATCGTAAGCTAATTTTAGTATCCATAAAATAGTGAATAAAGTGTGATTCGATGCAAGTTTGCATGGAGAACTGACGAAACAAAAGCTACTCAAAGTCGACGCAAAAGTGAGATGAATAAATATTGCCCCTTGTCATGCAGTAATAATCTATCCGGTTTGTCTCAACGTCAGACATGAAATAAAAGTGATTTACTTTACCGTGACCTCTGGAAAAAAAGAAAAGGAAA